CGCACCCCCCTTCTCTCTCTCTGTCTCTCTCTGTCTCTCTCTGTCTCTCTCTCTCTCTCTCTCTGTCTCTCTCTCTGTCTCTCTCTCTCTGTCTCTCTCTCTCTCTCTCTCTCTCTCTCTGTCTCTCTATCTCTCTATCTCTCTTTCTCTCTCTCTCTCTCTCTCTCTCTCTCTGTCTCTCTGTTGTTCTCTCTTGCTCTCACCCTCTTCCCACTTCTTCTGAGAGAAAGCAAACTCTCCAATTAACACATGTCTTAATTTGTACTTAAAAATTCGAAAACATAACACTATTATGTTCTTCTAAGAATCAGTAGCTTTTATGTTCAAGCTTAAAGGCCATTTGGGTCACAAAACTAACTACCAAGACAGAAGGTGAGAAGCATAATGATTACTGGGAAATAGGTTCACTCCTGCGTTCGAGCAAATTTAAACTCTTTGTCACTCAGAACCAGGGGCGGCTCGTGGGTCTGAAAAGTGGGCGTGCATCTTAGACTGAAGATAATCAAGGGCAGAGTAAATGGGATGGTGTATAATTTTAGGATCTTTAGGTTTGTGAAGGAAGACCTTGTGCTTTTATTTTAATTCTTTTTACTTGTGGCTTTGACTTCTAGAACTAAATCTGTTAGTTAGCTAAACGTCAATTTCATTCATCCTGCATTAGAACTGAACACTCAAGTAATACCTTTCACCACTCCACTACACAACCGTTCAAAAGCACAACTCATAGGACGGCGACTTAAGTATGTCACGTTTACCTCCCTCAGGTTCACGGTCACAGAGTCACTTAAAATAGCGACAAGACAATGAACCAATCACAATTCACTTGAGCACTCCGCTGGATTGCTCCGGGGCCCACATAATTTTGGCATGGAATAGTGCACAGTCTATGGCGTTTATTTTTAGATTGCCTACTGTGGCCTATGTTCCGGCGCTATTCGGCAGGAACACATTTGATATGTACCGTCTTATTAATATTAATGTACCGCCAAACTCTCTACAAGTGTCGTCATCGCTTGGGTTATCCCAAAAGAGCGATTTATAGGTCGGGTTTCCACTGTTGACTATCCTGTTATGTTTAGATACAACACATGAACTTAGGCATGGCATAGTAGATGTTTTACGGCGCTATAGAATAGAAATGACAGTTACGGCGCCAGCGAAGGCCTTGTTTTGATATAATATTTGGGTAGTGTTTGTTTCTGGCGTCTTTTATTTTATCATTGTGGGTGTTTTACGTCATAGAACATTAAAACATTTTGGGCGGCACTGCACGACAGTGCTCTATGGACGAACCGCGCCTGCTCAGAACGTTTCTGCACCGATGAAAATTTCTTCTCCCAGTCATAGTACTGTGCGATTTTGGGGAAACAACTCTTTATCGACGCAGTGGTAAATAACTAATGTTTAGTATTTTGTAATACTAGTAGTTCATTGAATTACTGGCTGTCTGTCTAAAAATCATTATTATTATCATTATTATTATTATTATTATTATTATTATTATTATTATTATTATTATTATTGTTATTATTACTATCATTACTATTACTATTATTATTATTTTTTTAAATTATTATTATTATACACTCAGAAACATTCTCGGCTTCCCGATAAGCGTACTAGTACAATGCAAGCTGCAGATTACAGGCGCTCAAACAATAACACACTGAAAAGATTTTTGCTGCCCCATTCCCTCCTGGGTGAAGTGAGGAAGATTCATGTGAAGTGACTTTCCCAAGGACACAACGTCGTCGAGTCTCTGACAAGATTCGAACCCTCGACCGTACGGTTGCGAATCTGAAAGCCTAACCACTAGGCCACCGACACCACAGGTCTCTTTGGTTAGACTAAACAATAATTTCCCCCCCCCCCCCTGTTCCTCCCCATCTCCTCTCCTTCGGAACATACTTGGTATACATTTGTACTGCACACCTTCGGTCTCCACTCTCCGTGGGGTCACTTTTCGGTTAGCGTAGCGTTATACGCGAAAGATACTTTGACGTTAATTTAAAATTTTAAAAAAGAGAGGGAAAGGGTTCGGAATTTACCGTCACATTTTATTTCAGGAGTGATAAAGTATTTCTGTTTGTGTGCTGTCTGTCTGTCTGTCTCTGTTCATCTCTTTCTGTCTCTGTCTATCTGTCTATCTTTCTCTTTTTTTCTTTCTCTCTCTCCTCTCTCTCTCTCTCTCTCTCTCTCTCTCTGTTCTCTTGGGGCAGGCAGGCTTATCTCCTCCTTCTCTCAAATTTCTCTCTCTCTCTCTCTCTCTCTCTCTCTGGCCCCCACCAAAAACCACACAATCACACACTCTCTTCTCTCAAACAAAAACCCCAGGCGGGCACAAGCACCCACACTTTTCCCCCAGACGTAGGTAAAAAACCCTTCCCCCCCGCGGGCTC